CTACCTACCTACCTACTTACCTATCGCCCACCTACTTGTCTCTGTCCGTCTAGCTGTTTGTCCATTTCTTATAACCAGCCAGTTCAATACAGGTGGATGCAAGCATCTATGTTTGCATCTCTGTGTCTAGGTGCATACGCCTAACTTAGTTTCAAAACAAGTAACAGTCTGTGTACAGTTAGTAACATAAACAGAAAAAGTGTATATACATATAGACATGGAAGGGGGAGAGAGAGAGAGAGAGAAATAGAGAGAGAGAGAGGGATCTGCACAGGCACATAGATAGAGGTTTACAAGCTTTTTGAGTGAAGTGGGTCTGTCCTTTGCAGCCACCTTGGCCAACTTGCGATAAGTCTCCACCTGCAGCGGGTTTGGGCTTGCGGAACACACCGCACATGGTTAAAGACGGTGCCGTTTGCGGTATCTGGCATAACTTACAAAAAAAAATGATTATCAACATGGCGGCTGCCACCCACCTCACGCAAGGGTTACAGTCTAATCAACCCAGGCCGGCGATGGTGGTGCGGTGGTGGAGGTTTCGTTGGCCTTACATATCACTTACCACTCCAGTCATTCAAGCAATTATGGGCGTCGAATGTAGAGTTCCTGCTTCAATTTGGATTTGTCCAAAGTTTAGGTGCTTCCCAACCGCCTCTTCTTCCGCCTGCATTCCAACCTTCCGCCCCGGCCCAAAGGCCCAAAGACTTTCAGAGGGGACCTAAATCCTCAAAGCCCGCAGCTCCAACGCGAGCGTCCAACTCGTTATCCGGTTGAGGGTTGAAGGCTCCGCGGCTATTGAAACCGCGTGTAATTCCAAAAGACTGCCATGTGCAGTACCGGGATGGGTGAACAGCAAACATGTCGAAAGCAGCGGCATAGTTGCAAAAGCCTGAGTGCTGCAACATGCTTGCCAGTACTGCCATCACCAACGTAAGCAAGTAGAGCAATGATCGCCGCTGAAGCATAAAGTCTTTCTGCCGCGGTCAGGTTTAGAGAAGCTTCGAGTTCGGGATGTCTCTTTGACTTTCTGGGAGGGAGAGGCTCTTAGATTGAGGAGATGTAAGTGCGACTTGTGAAGGGTTAGCATTGCTTACCGCTAAAGTTTAGGGTTCGGGAATGAGTGTGTGCGAGTTTGGTCAATACGTCCTACATTGCTTACCGCTAAAGTTTAGGGTTCGGGAATGAGCGTGTGCGAGTTTAGTCAATACGTCCTTCCAACCCTCAATCCTAAAGCCCTTTTAGCCCTAAACCCTAAACCCTCAACCCTGAAGCCTAAACCCTCAAGCCCTCAACCCCTGGGTCTAAATCCCTGAACCCCTCTTCCAACCCCCTTCAGAATAAAAAACGGCACTACACGCCAAGGCCCGTGCTCCCCAGAGAGCCCACTACCCCTTAATTGAGGAATTTACCTAAGATTGTAGGGGCCTTAATATTGTGGTTTAAGGTATATTCCTCCATTAAGGGGTATTTATTGGGCCGTCTGCGTCCGGGTTTTGGAGTTCTAGGATTCAAGGCTCGTTGCGCCTCCTTCTCTGCGGCCTTCCGCATCATTTTGTTTGACCTGGGTCCACGAAGACTTCGAAGCTGCATAGAGTTTTACTGTTGAGAGTAAGTTTAGGGTAGTAGACTACATGATCTCGTCATCGTACTTCGGTTTTTTGAGCTTTGGGGTCACAGGTTCGGAGGTAGGGTTTGCAAAGATCAATCCTTGTAGCCTTTTGGTTTGAGGATTGGGACTAGGTATCGCGCAAACCTGGAAATTCCGCTGCCAAGCTGAAGCACAGCAAGCTCACGTCGCTATGCCCATGAAGGGGGTCTGTACAAAGTTCCTCTACAATAAGTACACCTTGTCGCAGCCGTCCAGTGTACACATACCGAGGCAGGACACTGAAAGTCTACGTCGTCATAAACGCGAACAGTTCAAAGCTGATGGCCGCTGCACGAGAGCGAGCACCGAAACCCTGAACACAACAATCAGAAGCAAACAGTCACAGAAAACAAACCCAGGATAATGGGGATTATTGCCTACTACAGCACAAATCTCTAAGGACTCTTTTCAGGAAATCATGCAAGGTTCGGCTAG